CAACGACGAGGGAGGAGGGAAGACGACGACGACGACGACGACGACGACGACGACGACGACGACGACGACGACGGCGACGAAATAGGAGGGACGACGACGAGACGCCGACGACAGACGACGACAACGACGAGAGAGGAGGGAAGACGACGACGACGACGACGACGACGACGACGACGACGACGGCGACGAAATAGGAGGGACGACGACGAGACGCCGACGACGGACGACGACGACGACGAGGGAGGAGGAGAAAGAACAACCACGGCGACAACGACGACGGAAACGACCACGACGCCAAAGAGGAAGACGACGACGAACACGAGGAAAGACAGAGGACGACGTAGGCGACGACGACGACGACGCGGGAGGAGGGAGGACGGCGACGACGACGACGACGACGACGCAAGAGCGCGCGCACGCTTTTTTTGAAAATCCGTGTTGCGAAACCTTGTGTGTGTGTGTTGTAGGTTGTTTCGGACACACGATTTTGAAATCCTTTCGAAACCGATGGGTTTTGAGGGATTTCGGCATACGCGCGCGACAACGCGCGCGTCTGCACTTCATCCCATTTTTTTCATAGGATTCCCGCGACGGCACACGCGCAAGGGCGTTCGACAGATTTCGACATGCGCGCGCGAAGCCCGTTTGGTAACATGTTGTGCAAATCTTAAAGCATGGTTTTCTTAAGATTTCGCAAGAGCTCGCGCGTAAGCTTTTTCAGCAAATCAGTGTTGCGAAGCCCTATGTTTTTGTATGTTGTTTTCGAAACTCGATTGCGAGATCCTTCCGACACCGAAGGTTCTTGAAGGATTTCGGCATGCGCGCGCGACGACGCGCGCGTGTGCACTTCGTCCCATTTTTTGCTAGGGATTCGTGAAAAAGTCATATGTTAAAACAAAAGATGTCCCCGCGCATCGCTTTTCACAAGGGAACCTCAGGGGGACCGATACCGGTTCCCCTGGGATGATGTAAATTCATATGTAGGATGGACATGTGGTCAAAATCACATATGATTTACATACCCGAAAGGGGGACCGATAACGCCGGGGGGGGGAGAGCCTGTTCTCTTTTCAGAAAGGCGAATATACGTGGTGCAAAATGAAGGCGGCAGCGACGCGGCAACGGGCGGCAACGTGGAGAATCATCGCCGGACCCGCCCAGCGCACGAGACGGCGACGAGGCGGCAACAAGGCAGCAACGGACGGCAGAAGCTCGCTGGACTCACCCCGCGCACGAGGCGGCAACGAGGCGGGAATGGGGGGCGGCAACGTGGAGGAACATCGCCGGACCCACCCAGCGCACGAGGCAGCAACGAGGCGGCAACGAGGCGGTCACGAGCAGCAGCGTGGCGAAACCTCGCCGGACCCACGGGCCCACCCAGCGCACGCGGCGGCAACGGAGCGGCAACGGGCGCCAACGTGACAAACCTCGCTGGGCCCACCCGGAGCAGTGAGGTCGCAACGAGGCGGCAACGGGCGGCAACGAGGTCGCAACCAGACACAACCAGTTCCTGAGGGAGAGAGGTAAGGGCCTGAGAGCAAGCCCTGCCTGTAGAAAGAGCAAACTCCCCAAGGTCTTCCGCCCTAACTGCTCCTTCCCTCCTCCTCCTCCTCCTCCTCCTCCTCCACCTCCTTCTCCTCCTCCTCCTCCTCTTCTCCTTCTCCGCCTCCGCCTCCTCCGCCTCCGCCTCGTCCTCCTCCTCGTCCTCCTCCTCGTCCTCCTCCTCCTCCTCCTCCTCCTCCTCCTCCACCGCCTCCTCCTCCTCCTCCTCCTCCCTCTCCTCCTGGCGGCGGCCTTCGTGAAACGCCGGGGCTGCATGCCCTTGGCGAGGGCGATCACCCGCTGCGCGTCGAAGGCATCGCCGATCTGTCGTGTCGAGGACGAGGGGCACGGAGGACGAAGGAAGGAGAAGGTAAGAAAAGGGAGGAAGGAGGAAGGAAGAGACAGGAGGGAGAAGGAGAAGAGCAGCGAGGAGGTCCAGGAGGAGGGGGTGGGGAGGGGGGGGAGCAAGGAGGAGAAGGGAGGCGGAACAGGGCGGGGGATAGGATAACGGAAGAGGGCCTCCTCCTCACCCTCCCCCTTCTCATCCTGCGCTCGTAGCGGGCTCGACGGGCCAGGGCAGACTGGGCAGGGGCGGACTCCTGCCCCTCTTCCCTCTCCGTTTCCACCTCTCACTGCTTCTCTTCTCCCTAAATCCGCCGGCCCCCTTGTGGGGCCACCAGGCTGTAGGACCGTGATTCGCAGTTTCCTGTTCCAGTTGTAGCTTGTAGTTTCCAGTGTTACAGTTCTGCTTCTTGCTGGTTACTGTAACTAGTTGATTGACCGCGCGAGGGGGGGGGAGGCCCAAACGGGATTTTTAGCACCCCCTGGGCCGCGTTGTCTGAATTGCTCGGGGGGCTCGAAATCGACACCCCTCACGCAGATCCGCGGGGTCAGGGTCCAAAAACACATGGGATTTGCAACATTTTTGAAATTCGGTGCCACCCCTCACGCAGATCCGCGGGGTCAGGGTCCAAAAACCACAGGGATTTGCCACATTTCTGAAATTCGGTCCCACCCCTCACGCAGATCCGCGGGGTCAGGGTCCAAAAACACAAGGGATTTGCTACATTTCTGAAATTCGGTGCCACCCCTCACGCAGATCCGCGGGAACAGGGTCCAAAAACACATGGGATTTGCAACATTTCTGAAATTCGGTGCCACCCCTCACGCAGATCCGCGGGGTCAGGGTCCAAAAACACAAGGGTTTTGCCACATTTCTGAAATTCGGCGCCACCCCTCACGCAGATCCGCGGGGTCAGGATCCCAAAACACATGGGATTTGCCACATTTCTGAAATTCGGTGCCACCTCTCACGCAGATCCGCGGGGTCAGGGTCCAAAAACACAGGGGACTTGCAACATTTTTGAAATTCGGTGCCACCCCTCACGCAGATC